AAGCATCATACTTCACCGCCAGTTAGTTGCCGTTAACCCAGGATCATACACCCCGGATTTGGCAATGTCATTCAACAATCTATGTAATGCCCTTTCCAAACTTGGACGACACTCGGAGGCACTCCCATTCATTGAAGAAAGTGTCAAACTCTACCGCCAGGTAGTTGCTGTTAACCCAGGATCATACACCCCGGATTTGGCAATGTCACTCAACAATCTATATAATGCTCTTTCGGATCTCGGACAACACTCGGAGGCACTCCCATTCATTGAAGAAAGTGTTAAACTCTGGTGCCAGCTAGTCACTATTAACCCAGGAGCGTACACCCGAGAATTGGCCATATCAGTCAATAATCTACGTAACGCTCTTACCAATCTCGGACGCCATTCCGAGGCACAAATGGTCCACATTTGAGCATGTTCTCCTCGTCACTGCATCCTTCACATTGCTGCCTGCACATGATGGGCATGGATATATATTCGACTCGGGAACACCAACAAATCCAACCTCAATTTCTTTGATTGCAAACTATGGATAAAATATCTACATGCCGATACGCTCATAACGAATCACAGACGCATCATGATCTTACAATTACAATTTCACCTCGAAGATGCCCCATTTCTTCGCCTAACACATTTCTCCTCCTGTTTGCTCATTGCTGACATTTGTCTGCACACCACGGTACCATAAGCGATGACGTCAATCGAGCCTGAGGTCTGGATGGATGATGCAAGTTGGCAGAATGGAAAGACGAAATCGGCAGGTCGACACTATTCGGTGCATCGGGCCAGGGGAGTGAAAGAATAACGGTGTGCAGTGACAGCTTGGGGATGTCCAACTCCAATACGGAAGAGAGATCGAGATCGAGCTTTGACTTGGCACTATTGTCTTGATAAGCAGTATGTACACGTGTCGAATCGTCGCCACATATGTTCGAGTGGAGCACCAAGTCCGAAGAGTGTGATATCAATATTGGCATTGGGGTGACGTTAGCTTCGCGAGTTTCGGACTCGATTCGGCAAACTCGCCGCGGATGCCATGCGCGCCGAATGTGACCCAGCCACCATGTCTGAAATATCTAACATACTTCGTCTCTTGGCCCAACAACTTCTCACATCGGACCCACTAGTACATCCTGGGAAACACCTGCAGTTCAACCCTCCCTGCATTCCTACATCGCCTTCCTCTGATCCGATCTTTCCATCGAAGCTCCATTTTCTTTGTTGTCTGGTTCCGGGCCCTCCATACTATCGTCCATACGCTTTATTCTGATTTGTCAGGGTTTTCATCTTCGTCGTCGATGGCCAGTCATCCGAGTAAGGACCATGATCCCATCTCCACCAAGGACGAACATCCCAATGGTCGTCCGTCCCGGAAGGGTCATCATACGTTCCTCCATCCGAATCCCTCGTCTTCTTGTTATCCGCGTTACTGCTCTAGAAGATGAATGGGACGTCGTGGTTGCAGTGATTGTACGAGAGGTAGCGGCAGCAGGCCAACGAAAGCGCTAAGGAAAAGACGAAAAGAGTTGAAACACGCGAATGGAGCATGGTGGAAAGTTGAGTGACGGCTGCCACTCTCTTTCTCACGTACCTGACGGACGGATCGAAATGGTGCTTGCACGTCGGGGGATTGCAGAGCACATTGTTTCTGCGTAACCAATGGCGTCGGAGTTTGGATCGATCGATGATGTAAATTGGTTGAGACGAAGCACAAGTCGATTGGCGGTCGAACGCGGCCACTTGGTCCACTTAAGTCAGATCCTAGCTTACCACGCGCTTTTTCCCAACACTTTATGATCCAACCGAATTTCGCTGCCCAAAATTCTATGACGACTGCCCATCGGTGTTCCGCCATGCCTCCCCTACTAGTTTGGGTGCGACCCATGTTTGATCTGCACTGTATTACCACGCCCCGTGGCCATCAAATGTATGTGTCGGATGGTCATGTATCCTGGATTCCTGGTAACTACTACTGGATGCCGTTCATCAAATGACGAAATACATGTGCACTTCCAGGCGATTATCCCTACCTTGAAGACCCTTCCCGCTACAACTGACTGTCCTCTCCTGCCGAAAACTTTTGTTCGGTAAGCGGGATAGTGAATAAGTAAGGTTGGTCCTAACCCTAGAATGGACCGGCTCCGCGACTGTGCGCCACCCGGATCATAATTAGGAAGTTAATGTCGATTACTTTGTCCATCTTCGTGAATCGATCAACATGAATTACCCAAGTAACACTTCGAATTGAATGAAGAAGCGCGCTGATGTAGCACTTATGTCAGTAGAGGTAGAATGCGATAAATTAGCGCTGCTTGCCCCGTTAATATTGCTCGGCACGAAACCGCCGATGCTTGATGGTGCCAGTGTCTCTTGGCGGTCTGATCAAGGACAACCTAGATATCCTGCCGTGCTCTTGTTGTTCATGTTCAAAAGTGCAATCACCTCAAAATCCCACTTCTACAACGAGCTCAGACAATCCTTTTGCATACGCTTTCTCTTCGTTCTCCAACTCGATCACTCTCAGGCTGTTTCCGAAGGCTATAGTTTCGGATATGATTGCGCTATGGAACATGCTTCCGGGCTCGCTACTTTGCCTGATGGCACTTGCACTCCCAGACTCTTTCGGCAACACGAATGACCTAACACCTACGGATGCGCCAGCTTTCCCAGCCATTGGATGGTCTGGATTATTCTGGTACTGTCTACCTGCTGTGCGCGTGACACTCGTGGGGTCCCTAGGGATTGGTGGAGTATTCGACAGCGTCGTTACCAAGTCTAGGGGGCCACCTGCTATTTCCTATCCCAGCTTGTGAATCACATTAGATCCCCGTGAATACAGCATTACCACACGGTGCAAAGCAGACGCCATTCCTCAGTTTTGAGAAACACCATTGTTGCACCAAGCGGCTCAACGGACAGCGACATTGATCATTCAGATCGTTCCTGTTGTATGGGAGCGTGTTCTCCTTCATGTGGAATCCTCCTTGTTTTGGTGTCATTCCAATTCGTTATTCGCCTTCACACCATGTACACAGCCAAGTTTGGCAGCGGGACTGTATCACCTTTTATTCAGTATGATTTCTGTATGACAAGTTCTGACGTTGTCGTCCCACTGCTTCTTGGGGTGCATAGGTTGACCCAGGAAGCGAAGTGACGCTTGGCTCTATCCAAAGCATCCTTCCTCGCATATTCACCGTTGCCAGCACTGTCCCTCCATCCAGGAGAATCAGCATTTCGGTCAGGGTAATTCACGATCTGAGCGAACCAAATGGGGGGGGGGCTATTTCCATACCCCTTTCTCCTTAATGACGATGACGCTGGGATGATTCGTTCCTATCACTTCATTCCGTGGATTTCTGGCTCGTCAGACAGTGGGAGTGGAATTTTCAGGTAGAAAATGGTTGAGACGAAAGAGGGCCTCGTGTGACATTCCCGAACGTGGAAGGCCCTTCAAGTACGCATGTGGGATGGGTGAGTTGTAGCCTAAGCCATCCCCCTTTTCTTTACTCATAGGCGACGTACTCGGTCATTCTAGCTGTTCTCCCTCGGGCTCATAATCCCACTCAACTCAACGCTGTTCAGTTTGTTTTATACATTAGGTTTTATCTCAAGACTGCTTCTGACTGGTCACCTGCAGCCAGCTGGGCAGCCATCTACCCATCACGCGCATAGCCGCCCGAGTAACGACTCTGTCAAGTTTCATCCGTAGGATTTCTAGAGATGACCTTTACAGAGGTGTCACCTCTGCGCGTTGAACCCCCTAGTTCTGGACTATCGGATTTGTACGGTAAGTCCATATTTCTACTCAACTAGGGACCAAGGTTGGCCGATGTTACTCACCGACGTACCCGCCATCATTCACTCTCGGTAATTTGCTCAGTCATCGTCCAGTCTTTCGGCTCTATCGGTGCAAGTTATCTCAATAGGCTCTTCCTTTCATCTATGAATTCCTCACGTCGCTCACCCGGTTAGTGGATCGATCTGACTACCAACGCTACCTGCACGCGATGTCCATATGCATCTATTGATGTCTAGGATCCTTACTGATTGCAAAGACACGCAGGTACACGAATATCCCGTTTCAACCTAAACCATTTACAAAATACACTGCCCATACCATGCGACCCGACGCACAGACGAATTCGAAATGGCTGTCTTGAGAAATTAACTTTCGGGAGTTTTTAAGGACCCGTTCCCAAGTTTCGCGGAAGAAAAGCAGGAAGAAACGAATAAGCCTTCGTTTCCAACGTAGGGCACTTGACAAAAATTGTGATAGGGCGAAGGGAGGGTAAGAAAGAGAATAGAACGAGACCGTTACGGAAAACGGCATAGTGAGGTGCAATAGGGAAGAGGCGCGAGAGGAAGAGGGATGGATCGCATCATCATTGGTTGAGCTCCTTGGACTGAAGTGAGATTTGTGTGCACCTCAGTAAGAACCAGCGTCGCATTAACGAGCCGCGGCTCAACCGCTGTGAGATCCTTCGACATTCAGTACACCGATAGAAATGAAAGAGATGTTCCTTCAACGCGCGCCCACCTGGTGTCGAGCGGTCCCGAGACACATTTCGGCAATTCCTGTGATCGGTTGGATTTTAGGCACGATTTCCAGGCGTTTTGAGCACAAAACCCATGCTTGAACAGGAGTGCCACGTGGAGATGCATATGTAAGGGGCAGGTTCTCTGTGCGCACTCACGCTTGGTGAATTAACAGGGATGTGTCTCAGCCAGAGTGAACATGATCGTATAGTTGTGTGTCGGCTGGAGTCAAACCTAGATGTCGACGGGCACCGTAAGGATTGGAGACACGGTGATTGACATGGGTATTAGGGGGACGGTGTATATCGGGCTAGGTGATCATGTAGTCCTAGATGGCCAGTGAAAACGAATGCTAATTGCTGCACTGTGGTTTGAAAGACGCCAGAATTTGGCGAAAAAGCATGGACCCTTTCGCGAGAGACTGAACCTTAATTTCTGCGTCGGAGTTGGCCGAACCCATTGCTTCAGGTTTCACGAAAACTGGGCCACCAATGTGTCGGCGCATCAACAAAGCCTATCAACCAAATTGAAGCGCATCGCCAGTAACGATAAGTAACTTTATTGTCCAAGGCATTAACGAGCGCAAAGCCGGCACCCGGCCACTTACCGGCATCCCATTAGTAAAGCTCACTCCAAGACCCTGATGAAAGGCTAGACTGGATCCCAGCCTCCACTGACATACGTCGCGTACGCTTCCCCCACCGGCGCTTACCGCCGGCTCTCTGTACGGAGCGAACGCTGCGTTCATATCTAGTTCTTATTCCTACCGGATCAGAGGTCCCGGGCCGCAAGATGTCGACCGAATAGTCAATGTACATATCATATCCATCCTCAATCTTCCATAATCAGACGGGGGCCTCGTGGCTCTAGTTTAGGGGCTCACACGTGTGCTGCGTGCCCAAAGCTCTGTCCTCCATCTACTTGTCCGTTATCGACCATGTCGCTGCAGCAAGAGGCTGAAACTCTGAGGCAAAAGACCAATGATCTCCTCGCAGCAGGGGGTAACCTGGCGGTTTTGACTCTTAGAGGCGTCAATGCCACGGCTGATTGGTGTCCACCCCTAAAGCGTGCGACTAGTGCTGCACTTTTCATCTTCGACGAGGTTAAAGTTGGTAATGATTTATGCTTGTCCGCGAATGATAGCTCACGCTGGTTTGCGCCATGTAGAAGTTCAAGGAGAACGCAAAGGAATGGATTAATTTCGGTGATTACGTAGCGAGCGCCGTGGCCAAGGTATCTTCAGCCATAAAGTCCGATGATGTGTCAGCGGAAGAAGCAAAGCCATGGGTGGAAAGCGCCACAGAGCTTGATGGGTAAGTCTGCATCCGTTTTGGTGGTCTTCGATATCGTACTTACATCAAGTCCCAGCGCGCTACAGAAGATTAAGTCCGAAATTGAAAGACGGGAAAAAGTAGAAAAACGATCGGCTATCAGAAAAACACTCTTCTACTTGAGAGACCCGGGAAAAATTGATGGCCTGAAGAAAGATTTTGACAAAGCATTGGCATCGTTTCAGGTAGCTTTCCTTACAGTATCGTTCCATAACATTCTGATTTTTGGCCGATGCAGCTTAGCACGAACTTGATAACTGGCTCCAAATTAGTGGCCATAGAACGCCGTCTACATGATGACAAGATTCTCGATAGTCTCCGATACCTTCATCTTGCCCATGACGATTCCACTCAGGTGTGCCTGAAAGACACTAGGGTTGATCTCATTGAGCGTATCATGGGATGGTGCTGCAACACTGGGGATAGCGAGAAACGGCTAATGCTGTTGACTGCCGTGGCCGGCGCTGGCAAGACTTCGATTGCACTCACATTAGCAGAACGATGTGCCAACGATGAGGGTGTTACCCTGTTACTGCAGTTCTTCTTTAAAGCGGGCGAACGGTCGCGGCCTGATTTTCTATTCAGCGGCATGGCTCGAGCTTTGGCAGACCATGATCCTGTTTACCGCACTTTCATTACTTCTGCTCTTCGAAAGGACCCCAGTCTCTCAACAGCTTCATTCACGACGCAGTTCAAGAAATTGGTCGCCCCGTCTCTCTTCCATAAACCTCCACCTTCCAATCGTCCTATGGTGATCATCATTGATGCTTTAGATGAATGTGACAAAGAGGCGTTCGAGTCTCTTGCCGAAATTCTTGGGGAGGAAGTGCCCAGGCTACCATCTTCCATAAAATTCTTCATCACATCGAGACAATTTGATCTCATGAATCGCTACCTTTCCCCCAATTACCCTATTGATCGCCTCACTATTGATCTCTCGGATGAAGCAAATACGCGGGATTGTGCTAGATTCATACGCTTCCAGCTGCAAAAGCTAAAGATGTTACATCGGGATTTACAGCGCAATCTCCAGGATGAGGATAAAATGGTACAGGAGATCTCGGAACAAGCAAATGGGTTGTTTATCTGGATCAGCACCATCTTTCGCTACATGAAGACGACCAACCAGAATCCTATGAGGACACTAAAAAGTCTGCTCGACACTGGTGCCAAACGACGGGAGGTCCCTGCTGAGAAGATGATGGAAGACTTGTATACAAGCATTTTGAAGAAGTGTGCTTGGGAGGATGAAGATTTCGTGCACGATTACCCAATCGTGATGGGAGCAATCTTTGTTGCTCAGCAGCCTCTGTCCATCACAGCCTGGGACTCAATTTTGTTGCCTTTCCTCAAGTCTTCTGTTCGATATGCGTTGGCCGAACTCGCCCCTCTGCTCTCAGGAGTTGAGGATTCCCTGATTCCGGTTCGCATCTTACACCAATCTTTCCGCGATTTTATTGTCGATCGGATTGATCCCCAAACAGTCAGCTCTCGTTGCGCTCCCATAGCTGTTGGGGTGGATAATGCCAGGGTTGCCCTGCGATGCACCGAGATTTTGAATGAGGGTCTCTGCCCTGTGGAGGGCTTAGGCCTGATTGAAAACTTGTACAAAAAAGATGAAATGCCGCATATTCCTCAAAAGGAGTTTTCTGAGCACTTTCGTTATGCATGTCGCCACATTGTCCATCACCTCAGTGGAGTCGAGGAACCATCTGAGGAGCTTGCTGGGCCAGTTAGTATGTTTCTGAGTCAGCAAGCAACTCGGTGGGTGGAAGTCTGTGTGAGAATGGAAAGCTATGTCAGGATCTCGTTACTCCCTGAGTGGGCCAAGGTATGGGTTATCGACAAATTATGTTAATGAAACTAGCTCATGATCTTATTCAGTTGGCTGTTGTCCACAGGTCAAAAGATGCTGTCAGCACACTGGTTAATGTGCTTACCTGGCTTCAATACAATTTGGTATTTTTTTCAAGATTCCAGGAGGCATATGAGGCAGCAAATGATTCTGTTGTACTCTGCCGTTACCTTTTTTCTGTGGACTCAAGTTCCTACACCCCGAATTTGGCAATGTCACTCACCAATCAATTTTATGCTCTTTCCAATCTTGGACGGCACTTGGAGGCACTTCCATTTATCGAAGAAAGCGTCATACTCGACCGCCAGTTAGTTGCCATTAACCCAGGGTCATACACACCGGATTTGGCCGTGTCACTCAACAATCTATATAATGCTCTTTCCAATCTTGGACGGCACTTGGAGGCGCTCCCAATCATCGAAGAAGGTGTCAGACTCGACCGCCAGCTAGTTGCTGTTAACCCAAGATCGTACACCCCGGATTTGGCCCTGTCACTCAACAATCTATATATTGCTCTTTCCGATCTCAGACAACACTCGGAGGCGCTCCCATTCATTGAAGAAAGCGTCATACTCCGCCGCCAGCTAGTTGCCGTTAACCCAGGGTCATACACACCGGATTTGGCTGTGTCACTCAGCAATCTATATAATGCTCTTTCCAATCTTGGACGGCACTCGGAGGCGCTCCCATTCATTGAAGAAAGCACCAAACTCCGCCGCCAGTTAGTTGCTGTTAACCCAGGGCCATACACCCCATATTTGGCCAGGTCACTCAACAATCTATATAATGCTCTTTCCAATCTTGGACGACACTCGGAGGCGCTCCCATTCATTGAAGAAAGCGTCAAACTCTGCCGCCAGCTAGTTGCCATTAACCCAGGGTCATACACACCGGATTTGGCCTCATCACTCAACAATCTATATACTGCTCTTTCGGATCTCGGACGACACTCGGAGGCGCTCCCATTCATCGAAGAAAGTGTTAAACTCTACCGCCAGCTAGTCACTATTAACCCAGGAGCGTACACCCGAGAATTGGCCCCATCAGTCAAGAATCTACGTAAAGCTCTTACCAATCTCGGACGTCATTCTGAGGCACAAACGGTCCATATTTGAGCATGTTCTTCTCGTCACTGCATCCTTCACATTGCTGCCTGCACATGATGGGCATGGATATATATTCGGCTCGGGAACACCAGCAAATCCAACCTCAATTTCTTTGATTGCAAACTATGGATAAAATATCTACATGCCGATACGCTCATAACGAATCACAGACGCATCATGATCTTACAATTACAATTTCACCTCAAAGATGCCCCATTCCTTCGCCTAACACATTTCTCTTCCTGTTTGCTCATTGCTGATATACCGGTCCGTTTGTCTGCACACCACGGTACCATAAGCGATGACGTCAATCGAGCCTGAGGTCTGGATGGATTATGCAAGTTGGCACAATGGAAAGATGAAATCGGCAGGTCGACACTATTCGGCGCATCGGGTCAGGGGAGTGAAGGGATTACGGTGTGCAGTGACAGCTTGGGGATGTCCAACTCCAATACAGAAGAGAGATCGAGATCGAGCTTTGACTATTGTCTTCATAAGCAGTATATACATGTGTTGAATTGTCGCCACATGTGTTCGAGTGGAGCACCAAGTCCGAAGAGTGTGATGTGTTGGGGTGACGTCAATCGTGGTGGGCTTCGCGTGTTTCGGGCTTGATTCAGCAAACTCGCTGCGGATGCCACGCGCGCCGACTGTGACCCAGCACATACTTCGTCTCCTGTCCTTTCACATCGGACCTACTATCATAGTAGTACAGTATATACTGTGCAATACCTACGGTTCAAACCTCCCTGCATTCCTTTCCTCTGATCCGATCCTTCCATCGAAGCGATCATTGGTGGACGAATATATCATCCCTCCCCGCCTCCATTTTCTTTGTCATCCAGTTCCGGGCCCTCCGTATTATCGTCCACACGCTTTATTCTGATTTTCATCTTCGTCGTCAATGGCCAGTCATCTGAGTAAGCACCATGGTCCCATCTCCACCAAGGACGAACATCCCAATGGTCGTCCGTCCCGGAAGGGTCATACGTTCCTCCATCTGAATCCCTCGTCTTCTTCTTCTTTTTATCTGCGTTACTGCTCTAGAAGATGAATGGGATGTCGTGGTTGCAGTGGTTGTACGAGAGGTAGTGGCAGCAGGCCAACGAAAGCGCTTAAGGAAAAGACGAAAAGAGTTGAAACACGCGAATGGAGCATGGAGGAAAGTTGAGTGACGTCTGCCACTCTCTTTCTCACGTACCTGACGGACGGATCGAAATGGTGCTTGCACGTCGGGGGATCGCAGAGCACATTGTTTCTGCGTAACCAATGACGTCGGAGTTTGGATCGATCGATGATGCAAATTGGTTGAGACGAAGTACAAGTCGATTGGCGGTCGAACGCGGCCACTTGGTCCACTTAAGTCAGATCCTAGCTTACCGCGCGCTTTTTCCCAACACTTTATGATCCAACCGAATTTCGCTACCCCAAATTCTATGACGACTGCCCATTGGTGTTCCGCCATGCGTTCCCTACTAATTTGGGTGCAACCCGTGTTTGATCTGTACTGTATTACGTTCACGTCTCGTGGCCATCAAATGTAGGTGTCGGATGGTCATGTATCCTGGTAACTACATGACTAGTGCTACTACTGGATGTCGTTCATCAAACGACGAAATCCAGAGACATGTGCACTTCCAGGCGATTCATATCCCTACCTTGAAGACCCTTCCCGCTACAACTGACTGTCCTCTCCGGCTGAAAACCCTTGTTCGGTAAGCGGGATAGTGAATAAGTAAGGTTGGTCCTAACCCTGGAATGGACTGGCTCCGCGACTGTGCGCCACCCGGATCATAATTAGGAAGTTAATGTCAATTACTTTGTCCATCTTCGTGAATCGATCGACATGAATTAAGTAACACTCTGGGATTGAATGAAGAAGCGCGCTGATGTAACACTTGAGTAGAGGTAGAATGCGATAAATTAACGCCGCTTGCCCCGTCGGCACGAAACCGCCGATACTCGATGGTGCTAGTGTCTCTTGGCGGTCTGATTAAGGACAACCTAGATAGCCGTGCTCTTGTTCATGTTCAAAAGTGCAATCCTCAAAATCCCACTTCTACAACGGGCTCAGACAATCCTTTTTCTTTTCGTTCTCCAACTCGCTCTGTTTCCGGAGGCTATAGTTTCGGATATGATTGCGCTATAGAACATGCTTCCGGGCTCGCTACCTTGCCTGATGGCACTTGTACTCCCAGACTCTTTCGGCAACACGAATGACCCAACACCTACGGATGCGCCAGCTTTCCCAGCCACTGGATGGTCTGGATTATTCTGGTACTGTCTACCTGCTGCGCGCGTGACACTCGTGGAGTCCCTAGGGATTGGTGGAGTATTCGACAGTGTCGTTAACCAAGTCTAGGGGGCCACCTGCTATTTAGCTTGTGAATCGCATTGGATCCCCGTGGATACAGTATTCCCACACGGTGCAAGGCAGACGCCATTCCTCAGTTTTGAGAAACATCATTGTTGCACCAAGCGGCTCAACGGACAGCGACATTGATCATTGAGATCGTTCCTGTTGCATGGGAGTGTGTTCTCCTTCATGTGGAATCCTCCTTGTTTTGATGTCATTCCAATTCGTTATCTGCCTTCACACCATGTGCGCAGCTAGCCAAGTTTGGCAGCGGGGCCGTATCGCCTTTTATTCAGTATGGTTTCTGTATGACAAGTCCCGACGTTGTCGTCCCGCTGCTTCTTTGGGTGCATAGGTTGACCCAGGAAGCGAAGTGACGCCTGCCTCTGTCCAAAGCATCCTTCCTCGCATATTCACCATTTCCAGCACTGTCCCTCTATCCAGCAGAATCAGCATTTCGGTCAGGGTAGTTCACCATCTGAGCGAGCCAAATAGGGGGGGGGGACTATTTCCATACCCCTTTCTCCTCAATGACGATGACGCTGGGATGATTCGTTCCCACCACTTCATTCCGTGGATTTCTGGCTCGTCAGACAGTGGGAGCGGAAAGGTGGGGAAAAATGGTTGAGATGAAAGAGGGCCTCGTGCGACATTTCCGAATGTGGAAAGCCCTTCAAGCACGCATTTGGGGTGAGTGCGTTGCAGCCTAAGCCATTCCCCCCCTTTTTTTTATACTCATACCAGTTTTTGGCGACGTACTCGGTCATTCTAGCTGTTTGCCCTTGGGCTCATAATCCCACTCAACTCAACGCTGTTCAGTTTGTTTTACATATTAGAGAGAAGACTGTTTCTGACTGGTCACCTCGCAGCTAGGTGGGCAGCCATTGCGGTACCCATCACGCGCATAGGATTACCTTCTCCACCCGAGAACCGACTTTGTCAAGTTTCATCCATGGGATTTCCTGGAGACGACCATTACAGAGGTGTCACCTCTGCGCATTGCCCAAGTGAATCGTCGAGAGAATCATGGACAGTGGAAGCAGAGCAATGCGTGGTTTCGCCATCTCTTTACCCGAGCCACCTTGCAAAAAAAAATACAGCTGAAAGAAGAAGGACGTGACGCACCAGAAGTCTACGCAGGATTGCCATCATCCATTTTCACGAAACTCAAAGTGGGAACCAAGGTCATGGATGTCGACAGTATTACCCACTCCTTTAGAGTGTAATCACCTTCTACCGCTTAATCCAGAAAACCATTTTCCTGTCCCGAACAACAACGGGCTATATGGACGTTCTATCCAAAGAGCGTCGTCTCTGTCTGATGTAAATCGAAAATATTAGCTGATAGTCCGAAAGAATCGAAGCCTTCGGTGTGGAGAGTAATCATAGATGCAGGAAGACAATGCTGGGATGAAAGTGGTCGGTCAGCAGAAACGACTGCACGATTCCAAGGTCAAGGACGGGGGCCCCAGACGACACCTCCTATATCATTCACTTTAAAGAGCGAAGCGAAGCGGACAGCAATGGGCTTGTGAAGTTTCGCAAGGGGGAGTCGGGAATTTGGCTGACATTGGGCGCCTATTCTTGGGCAGGTTTGCCGAAGAAGCATGAGGGCATCGGGTATGATAGGATGAAGGGAAGGAGGGTCGAAGCACGGAGGTTGGTTATGAGTGGATGGCGGAAGGCAGAAGAGTCCGGAGATAGTTTGACGCGTAGTGCAAAGCCACGCAGGTACGCGAATATCCCGTTTCCACCCAAACCATTACTGCCTAGACACAGGCGACCCGACGCACAGACGAATTCGAAATGGCTGATTAACGTTTCGAGAGTTTCTAAGGGCCCGTTCCCAAGTTTCGTGGAAAAGAAACCAATAAGCCTTTGTTTCCAACACAACCTACCTCAAAGCAGAACGGTAATCCACAATAAAAGGGGGGAAAGAATCAGTTATACTCAGTAATGATACATTGGCGGAGTCCTTGTTACAGCAAAATGTCGTAGCAAATCAGTCGCCGTCGTTTCTGCCTGCATTCCCTTACAAATGTCCAAAGGTAGGGCACTTGACAAAAATTGTGATAGGGCGAAGGGAGGGTGAAAAAGAGAATAGAACGAGACCGTTGCGGAAAACGGCATAGTGAGGTGCACTAGGATGGCGGCGAGAAGAGGCGCGAGGGCAGAGGAAGAGGGACCGCATCATCATTGGTTGAGCTCCTTGGACTGAAGTGAGATTTGTGTGCAACTCAGTAAGAACCGGCGTCGCATTAACAAACCGCGGCTCAACCGCTTCGACATTCAGTACACCGATAGAAGAGATGTTCCTTCAACGCGCCCACTTGGTGTCGAGCGGTCCCGAGACACATATCGGCAATTCCTGTGACCGGTTGGATTTCAGGCTCGATTTCCAGGCGTATTGAGTACAAAACCCATGCCTGAACAGGAGTTCCACATGGAGATGCATGTGTAAGGGGCAGGTTCTCTGCGCGCACTCACGCTTGGTGAATTAACAGGGATGTGTCTCAGCCAGAGTGAGCACGATCGTATGGTTGTGTGTCGGCTGGAGTCAAGCCTACAATGAGCACCGTAAGGATTTGACCTGGAAAATTGACACGGTGATTGACTTGGGTATTAGGGGGAATGTTAAATAAGATAAATTTCGGGCTAGGTGATCATGTAGTCCTAGATAGCCAGTGAAAACAAATGCTAATTGCTGCACTGTGGTTTGAAAGATGCCAGAATTTGGCGAAAAAGCATGGACCCCTTCACCACGGAACTGTACCTGAGCCTTGATTTCTGCGTCGGAGTTGGCCGACGCCCATTGCTTCTCCCCATACGAAAACTGGGGTACTGAGTATCGGAAACTGGTGCCACCAATGTGTCTGCGCATCAACAAAGCCTATCGAATTGAAGTGCATCGCCAGTAACGATAAGCATCTTTATTGTCCAAGGAGGCATTAACGAGCGCAAAGCCGGCACCCGGCCACTTACCGGCATCCCATTAGTAAAGCTCATATGAAAGCACTCCGAGACCCTGATGAAAGGCCAGACTGGATCCCAGCCTCCACTGACATACGTCGCGTACACTTCCCCCACCGGCGCTTACCGCCGGCTCTCTGTACGGAGCGAACGCTGTGTTCATATCTAGTTCTTATTCCTACTGGATCAGAGGTCACGGGCCGCAAGATGTCGACCGAATAGTCAATGCACATATCATATCCATCCCCAATCTTCCATAATCAGACGGAGGCCTCGTGGCTCTAGTTTAGGGGCTCACACGTGTGCTGCGTGCCCAAAGCTCTGTCCTCCATCTACTTGTCCGTTATCGACCATGTCGCTGCAGCAAGGGGCTGAAACTCTGAGGCAAAAGACGAATGATCTCCTCGCAACAGGGGGTAACCTGGCGGTTTTGACTCTTAGAGGCGTCAATGCCGCGGCTGATTGGTGTCCACCCCTAAAGAGTGCGACTAGTGCTGCACTTTTCATCTTCGACGAAGTTAAAGTTGGTAATGATTTATGCTTGTCCACGAATGATAGCTCACGCTGGTTTGCGCCATGTAGAAGTTCAAGGAGAACGCAAAGGAATGGATTAATTTCGGTGATTACGTAGCGAGCGCCGTGGCCAAGGTATCTTCAGCCATAAAGTCCGATGATGTGTCAGCGGAAGAAGCAAAGCCATGGGTGGAAAGCGCCACAGAGCTTGATGGGTAAGTCTGCATCCGTTTTGGTGGTCTTCGATATCGTACTTACATCAAGTCCCAGCGCGCTGCAGAAGATTAAGTCCGAAATTGAAAGACGGGAAAAAGTAGAAAAACGATCGGCTATCAGAAAAACACTCTTCTACTTGAGAGACCCGGGAAAAATTGATGGCCTGAAGAAAGATTTTGACAAAGCATTGGCATCGTTTCAGGTAGCTTTCCTTACAGTATCGTTCCATAACATTCTGATTTTCGGCCGATGCAGCTCAGCACGAACTTGATGACTGGCTCCAAATTAGCGGCCATAGAACGCCGTCTACACGATGACAAGAATCTCGATAGTCTCCGATACCCCCATCTTGCCCGTGATGATTCCACTCAGGTGTGCCTGAAAGACACTAGAGTTGATCTCATTGAGCGTATCATGGCATGGTGCCGCGACACTGGGGCTAGTGAGAACCGGCTAATGCTGTTGACTGCTGTGGCCGGCGCTGGCAAGACATCGATTGCACTCACGATAGCAGAACGATGTGCCAGCGAAGGGGATGTTACCCTGTTACTGCAGTTCTTCTTTAAAGCGGGCGAACGGTCGCGGCCTGATTTTCTGTTCAGCGGCATGGCTCGAGCTTTGGCAGACCATGACCCCGCTTACCGCACTTTCATTACCTCTGCTCTTCGAAAGGACCCCAGTCTCTCAACAGCTTCATTCATGATGCAGTTCAAGAAATTGGTCGCCCCGTCTCTCCTCCGTAAACCTCCACCTTCCAATCGTCCTATGGTGATCATCATTGATGCTTTAGATGAATGTGACAAAGAAGCGTTCGAGTCCCTTGCCGAAATTCTTGGGGAGGAAGTGCCCAGGCTACCATCTTCCATAAAATTCTTCATCACATCGAGACAATTTGATCTCGTGAATCGCTACCTTTCCCCCAACTACCCTATTGATCGTCTCACTATTGATATCTCGGATGAAGCAAATGTGCAGGATTGTGCTAGATTCATACGCTTCCAGCTGCAAAAGCTAAAGATGTTACATCGGGATTTACAGCGTAATCTTCAGGACGAGGATAAAATGGTACAGGAGATCTCAGAACGAGCAAATGGGTTGTTTATCTGGATCAGCACCATCTTTCGCTACATGAAGACGACCAACCAGAATCCTATGAGGACACTAAAAAGTCTGCTTGACACTGGTGCCAAACGACGGGAGGTCCCTGCGGAGAAGATGATGGAAGACTTGTATACAAGCATTTTGAAGAAGTGTGCTTGGGAGGATGAAGATTTCGTGCACGATTACCCAATCGTGATGGGAGCAATCTTCGTTGCTCAGCAGCCTCTGTCCATCACAGCCTGGGACTCAATTCTGTTGCCTTTCCTCAAGTCTTCTGTTCAATATGCATTGGCCGAACTCGCTCCTCTGCTCTCAGGAGTTGAGGATTCCCTGATTCCGGTTCGCGTCTTACACCAATCTTTCCGCGATTTTATTGTCGATCGGATCGATCCCCAAACAGTCAGCTCTCGTTGTGCTCCCATAGCTGTTGGGGCAGATAATGCCAGGGTTGCCCTGCGATGCACCGAGATTTTGAATGAGGGTCTCTGCTCTGTAGAGGGCTTAGGCCTGATTGAAAACTTGCATGAAAATGATGAAATGCCGCATATTCCTCAAAAGGAGTTATCTGAGCACTTTCGTTATGCATGTCACCACATTGTCCATCACCTCAGTGGAGTCGACAAACCATCTGAGGAGCTTGCTGGGCCAGTTAGTATGTTTCTGAGTCAGCAAGCAACTCGGTGGGTGGAAATCTGTGTGAGAATGGAAAGCTACATCAGGATCTCATTACTCCCTGAGTGGGCTAAGGTATGGGTTATCGACAAATCATGTTAAATAATGAGACTACCTCATGATCTTATCCAGTTGGCTGTTGTCCACAGGTCGAAAGATGCTGTCAGCACACTGGCTAACGTGCTTACCCGGCTTCAGTACAATTTGGGATTTTTTTCAAGATTCCAGGAGGCATATGAGGCAGCAAATGATTCTGTTGTACTTTGCCGTCACCTTTTTTCTGTGGACTCAAGTTCCTGCGCCCCGCATCTGGCTGAGTCACTCAACAGTCTACGTATTGCCCTTTCCAATCTTGGACAGCACTCGGAGGCGCTCCCATTCATTGAAGAAAGTGTCAAACTCTACCGCCAGTTAGTTGTCATTAACCCAGGATCATACACCCCAGATTTGGCCATGTCACTCAACAGTCTACATAATGCTCTTTCGTATCTTGGACAGCACTTGGAGGCACTCCCATTCATTGAAGAAAGCGTTAAACTCTACCGCCAGTTAGTTGCCATTAACCCAGGATCATACACCCCATATTTGGCTGTGTCACTCAACAATCTATATAATGCTCTTTCAGATCTCGGACGACACTTGGAGGCACTCCCATTCATTGGAGAAAGCATCATACTCCGCCGCCAGCTAGTTGCCATTAACCCAGGATCATACACCCCGGATTTGGCTGTGTCACTCAACAATCTATATAATGCTCTTTCCAAACTCGGACAACACTCGGAGGCACTCCCATTCATTGAAGAAAGTGTCAGGCTCCGCCGCCAGCTAGTTGTCATTAACCCAGGATCATACACCCCATATTTGGCTGTGTCACTCAACAATCTATATAATGCTCTTTCGGATCTCGGACGACACTCGGAGGCACTCCCATTCATCGAAGAAAGCGTCAAACTCTACCACCAGTTAGTTGCCGTTAACTCAGGATCATACACCCCATATTTGGCCATGTCACTCAACAATCTACATAATGCTCTTTCGTATCTCGGACGACACTCGGAGGCGCTCCCATTCATTGAAGAAAGTGTCAAACTCTACCGCCAGCTAGTTGCCATTAACCCAGGATCATACACCCCAAAATTGGCCATGTCACTCAACAATCTATATAATGCTCTTTCGGATCTCGGACAACAATCGGAGGCGCTCCCATTCATCCAAGAAAGTGTTAAACTCTACCGCCAGTTAGTCACTATTAACTCAGGAGCGTACACCCGAGAATTGGCCATATCAGTCAACAATCTACGTGAAGCTCTTACCAATCTTGGACGTCATTCTGAGGCACAAA